CACACGCCTACAGCCCGTGCTCTGCAACAAGAGAAGCCACTGCAATGAGAAGCCCTCGTGCTGCGATGAAGAGTAGCCCCGCTCACCACAACTAGAGAGAAAAGCCTGTGCGCAGTAATGAAGACGCAACACAGTCAAAAAAAAAAAAAAAAGAAATAGGGGGGGTAATATTCATATCAAAGGATAATTTAAAGCAAAAAATATATGCAGAATAGTCATTATACAGAGATACATCATAAACCTTTATGCAGCAATAATGTAGGGCAAAAGGAAAAAGGACAGCCAAAATCACAGTGGGAAATTTTGACTCCTGTCTGCCTGAGACAGAGTTGAGATCCAGACAGAAGATATGGAAAATATACTTGAGGCAGAATTAATCCATCTCAAATCTTACAGGCTGGCACTGCCCTGTCCAGCAGGTTAGTATGTGGCTGGCTGTTGAACACTTGGAAACGTGGTGAGCATGGCTGAGGGAACTAATTTTTAAATTTTCATTAAAATTTAAATTTAAGGGACTTCCCTGGTGGTGCAGTGGTTAAGAATCCGCCTGCCAATGCAGGGGACATGGGTTCAAGCCCTGTCTGGGAAGATCCCACATGCTGCGGAGCAACTAAGTCCATGAGCCACAACTACTGAGCCCGTGCGCCTAGAGCCCGTGCTCCGCAACAAGAGAAGCCACCACAACGAGAAGCCTGCGCACCGCAAGGAAGAGTAGCCCCCACTCACCGCAACTAAAGAAAGCCCGTGCGCAGCAACAAAGACCCAACACAGCCAAAAATAAATAAATAAAAGACAAATAAATTTATAAAAAAAAATTATCAGGGACAAGTTAATTTAAAAAAATTTTAAATTTTAAACCAGAAGCAGTATACAATATGTTTTTCTGTTAAATCCAACTTGTTTTGGTACAACTACACATTTTGCCTTAACCACTGAAAATTTAGCATCCAAATTTAGATACACTGTAAACATGAAATAAATATTGGATGTTGAAGCCATTGCAAAAATGCTAAATATCTCACCGATAACTTCTGTATTTCATGTTAAAACATGAAAATTTATATATATGGGATTAAATACAAATATTAATTTCACCTGTTGTCTTCACATTTTTAATGTGGCTACTAGAAAATATAAAATTACATTTATATGGCTCACATTATATTTCTGTTGGACAGCACTAGGAAATAGGATACACCTTGCTTTGAAGGCTTTGGAGACTTTGTAAAACCCAATCATTACTAGATTATGTGTAGTAAGAGAAAATTACAGTCCAAGAGACTTGAAATCCAAAGAGAACTTTCCTTTATTAAAAAAAGGGCAGATCAAAAAAGAAATAAAACACTGAGTCTAAAAATAAAAATGAAAACATTAAACATCAAAACTTGTAGGATGCAATCAGCTTTAACATAGTCCCAGAGCAGTAATTTTTCTCTCTTTTAGGATCAGATACCTCTGAGAATCTGATACAATAGATCCCCTCCCTAGAAAAAATGCAAATACAAAGAATTTTGCATATAATTTGAGGAGGGCCACACACATCCAAAAGCCCCCAGGCTATAAATGCCTGTATCATAAAAATGGAAAATAAATTAACTAAGCAGGCAATTAAGATTCAAGGAAACTAAAACAAAACCCTCAAGGAAACTAGGAAAAGGAACAAGATTAAAAGCCAGGATAAAAACAGCAGAATTGTTAAATGCATGAGCTGTTTCTTTGGAAAAATCGAACAAAACTAAAAAACAGCAACTGTTAGAATAATCCATGGAGAAGGGAAAAAAATGCATAAACAGTTAGAAATGAGGAGGAGCATACGTTACCAAAAACAATAGGTTCGGAATTAAGGGAATACTCTACACAATTGCATAGTAATATGTTGACAAACTCAATTTTTTTCCCCCTGTAAAAATCCAAATTACCAAAATTGACATAAGAAATAGAAAACCTAAATCAGCAACAGAAAAATAAAAGAAATTCTTATATTTTCTAGTATATAAACTATATATTTTCTGCTCCTCCAAAAAGCAGCAGAATGGGATGAATTTGCTGGTAAATTTCAGATTGATGTGCATTCCACTCTTTCAACATTTCCTGGGTGCCTACTCTCAGTGCAGTATATATAGTCAGCCCAATCTAAAGTCGTTGTCAGGTAAGGTAAACTCTCCCATGTCACAGAAATGACTGGAAGGTCATTAGTTCATCGTGTGAAACAAAAAGGACTTGATCTCTAGACCTGATAAGGAGATAAATTCCTAAGCTGTGTGGTGATATAAGAGAGATCAACAGGGGAAAAAAATATTGGTGTGTGCATGTATAACTGTATAAACATTCTCTTCTATGATTAAAAATCACATACTTCCAGGAAGCAGATAGGAAATTATTTACGCATTAAATAATGCATATACGTTAATAAGAGCTACATGAAGCCAAGCCTCTAAGTGAACAGAGTAAGATTTACTAGGGGCTACTTGTAAATGCTTACTGAAAAATGTTCAAGCTCAAATGAAATAAGACAATTACTCTCTTACACGTTAAATTAAACTGATTACTCCCACAGCAAACATCTCGTGTCAGCCCTCTCATCTTAGCTCTTGTGGGGCCAATTTTCCTGAATATCATGTGGTTTTATGAAACTGGTAGATTGAAACCTGCCTAATTTGCTAGTAAGGCAATGAAGGCATAAAATAGCAATAGCCAGAGAAATGCTGAAAGGGGCTGCTGATTTCAACGTGTTTGCCTGTTCTGAGATTTGGGTGATTTTAAGCACTCTGCAACAGACCTGCTTTGATTCCTATATCTGAACAGAGCATTGAGTCACAGCCCATACAAACACTGTTTTTAGATTATTAAGAAAAAACAGGCTTTTCTCACTTCCCTGCTTTTCTTAAAGGAAAAAGTGAGGCTGACCCCAGTGTGTCTGCATCTTCCCTGGTAACTAATGCTCATTGAGGAAATAACCTTTGCAGAGAAAAATCAATACTTTTAGTCTTATCCAAGTCTTCTTCCTCATCAACTGCTATTTCCTACCTGCTTCATTACTTTGGAGTTCTAACCAGAAGCAGTTAAGTGCCAAAAAATCTTTAATAAAGTTGACCTGAGAATTTCAAGTTAAGTGGTGGGAGACTGGTAAATCTGGTTCCCAGCAGAGTAAGATGCCCAGGGCAACTGCTACAACCACGTATTACCTGGCACCACAGAATTTTCTAATGGCGTCTCATTAGGTATTAATGACATGAAATAATTACTGTTAAAGTGACATTTTTGTCAAGGGGATATAAACAAGCGAATCATTTAACACCAAGATAAAAATTTTACTGGTAATACATTCAAATTGCCTCTTGATAGGATTTTAGCAAGTGGCGAATTCAGAAGAGAAAAAAATGACAAGCGGCAAAGGCTGTTTTCAGTTATGTGGCTCTCACGCTTAGGCACTAAGTCTTATGAAAAGTCTGTCTTTAAAAACTCCTGTGGACAAACTGCACTTTTTATAAGATTTTTATTAGCTCTTTGACACCAGTTGGGGACAAATTCCTGGCCCTGTGACCTCTCGAATAGCAGGAACATAGAACTATTTGATGGCATCCTTGGAGGGGATGAACTGGTGTTAAGCAGAATCTGAGCAGTGCAAACGGCTAGAGGCAGATAGTTCTTGAGTGACAGGTCAGATTTGCAAAATGTTTCAATGCATTTGACAAATAAGTTTTCCTACCTCAAGGAGATTTAGCTAGTATTGTTGAATTGGTACAGCAAATAGTAGTTATGAAAACAAAGTTCCTAGCATAAATAAAATCAACATTCACTGATTGCTGGATAAAGTGCCATCCGCTGTATGAGCACAGAACCCAAGCAAATCAATTGGTTGGAAAAATACCATCTAATTCTGATTTTTACGGGACACAGGAATCATCGGACTGGCCTGATCACACAGGATCTAGGAAATGTGTGGTTCTTTAATGCTTTGGGCAGGCAGCGTCACCAAGAGTGCTGTGAACTATGCATAAGGCAGTGCAACTGGATGAGACAGAGACCGATATTATCTGTTAACAGAAAAGTGGCCTCACTTTTCTCAGGCTTCTTCAATAGTACAACTATAATAACATGGACACAGCTTTTTAGTTTGCAAAGCATTTCTCAGGGAATTGCCCTCATCCCTCATTTGCAGATGAAATAACTGAGGCTGAGTAGTCTCAACACTTTATCATTAGATTCAGAACAATGTATACTGCCAAAGAGTTGGAGGAAGATTAAAGGCAAGGTCTTTCAATTTATTCAAATTTCGACAGTAGGTTCTGCCAGGTCCTGGTGTTTACTATTTTAGCGAGAGCTTCTGCCCCCACAGGGGTTTTTCCTACGGAGTGGACCCAAGGAGAAGAGAACAACGTAGTGGGTGCCATGCAGTCAATGAGCGCCTTGCTTGTATGTGTGTTAGATGGCATACTACTGTCACCAGGCTGTGAACTGGGAAAACAGCAAAGCGATGGAACTGTTCTTTTTAAGGAACATCAAAAAGAAACTGGCTGAGACCGTCAAGAGAAAGCAAGTAGAAAACAGACTTGTAAATTATTCTAGTAGTGACCGCAATCTTAAGAGCTAGGAGACAAGTAGCTCACTGTTAGACGTGTGATCACTGTTAGACGTGATCTACTCATAACAGTTAAGGAACTAAACACCAGAACTCCAAATCCAATGCTGTGTGTGTGTGTGTGTGTGTGTGTGTGTGTGTGTGTGTGTGTGTGTGTGTGTGTGTGTGTGTGCGCGCGCGCTCACA